TTCAGGCTTCTTTACGCAATTGCATAAATTGCATTCACTGCGACGATCATTTTGTCATTTTCAGGTCATGGCAGTGCTGATCAAAATACGTTTGCATTTACTGAGTCCTTAATTAAGCTTCAAACGTCATAAAAAAATCGAATTAATTTCAAAACATTTGGATGGGTGGCTTATAATCGGATGCATTTTTTCTTTTCAGGTAGATGGGCCTACACCTGGGGGGTGGGGGGGTAAGGAGCGTTTAAGCGGCATATATTTTGAATACATGAATTTCCCTTTAGTCCACTCAAAACCGAATGAAGAATGCGGTCACCGAATCTGCATCAATTTGACATCGATCCCCAGAGTGGCTTAAGCCCCATAGGCACGAATCCCGGTTTAAAAATACCGTTGGTTGCATCCAAGCGTGTACACGAGAGGAAAAACGTGTTCTAATTGGGTGCAAACATGACATCTTTTGGCGCCATACATGCGAAGTTTGGAGTAAGCGAATGTTGTCGACTTGATTTGTTTTCGCTCGACAAAATATTCTTTTCAAGAATTTTTAGACGTTAAGAATAATTTCCCGAGACAAGTGTGCTGTTTCTGAGCGAAAACTACGCATTAACGTTGAGAAAAATGAAATGTGAGCGAAACGCGCTGATCAGTTTGGGGCGACAGTTTGCTTCAACGGCTTTCAAATGTTTGGCGACAAAACACCTCAGGTCTGCCACCCTATTAGAAAATACATGTTCTTTTTGTCTCTTGTCCACGCTTAGAGGCAACTGACGGTAAGCGGTTTCAAAAATGTCCGCATTTGTGTGGACGGGGCCTAAAAAAAGGGTTTCCGCAGCTGCACATCTATAATTTTTTGGGAGGCGCAAAACATTATTGTCTAAAAGGAAACACCTTTCTCTAAAACTGTTAGTGACGAAGAAAACGGTTGTTTTTAAACTTTGGTACAAAAGTGATTCTAAAATAGTAAGGTGAATTAGCCACTCTAAAGGATGTTACGTCTCTGTTTTCGAATCTGTACTCTGGTAAATATTGCAGAGTCCCCAGGCTTTATTCATACTGGAAACAAGGTTGCTACTACTTACTTTTCTCTAAGGTTGCCCTGCTCAAAAGAAAATTAAAGCCAGTTTCGCCTCCTTTCTTAGATAAAACATTTTCGTAATTAATATTTCATATACAGTGTACTTAACTGAAATGTACTTTTGGAGCCTAACTGCCGCTGGACCACTAACCAGAGAGAATGCATTGTCGGATGCATAATAAGCGGAAATATTATCGGGGTTATTTGATAGCCAGGTGTTTTGAAGTGAGTTTTAATTTATGATTTTTTTTTTTTCTCCTTTAGCGGAGGAATATGTTTTATCCCATTTAAAATATAAAAGAAGTCAAAGAGGACCGACTTAAACGAAGACCTCAACCGCAACCGCAACCGCAACGCAAAAGAAAAAGCAGTTTACTTTGAAGGTACGTAGGCCTTATAAAACGAGCGTTACGAAAGAAACTGAAAGAAAAGCCTGATTCGTATAATTGCTTCAAGGCATCACCTTGTTGACAAAGTCTTAATCCGTTTTGAACTTGTGGCTAGTCCAGTTCCCATGCTGCCTCGACTCATTTTATGTTATTTGTTATCCATGTCCTAATACTATCCACTAGTCCGTGATCAAAGCTGCTATAAATGCATTATTTCACAAATACAAGGTGAACGTTATTTGAAAAGCTTCGGCTTTCATTATTGACAATTCTGCCTTGTTGGCAACTGCGTGCGCGCGAAGATCTTAGCTCGAACTAGCTTGGCTACCCTGTACTGTAAAAAAAATTCAGAATTGGGTTAATAACATTTTTATTCCTTGCCAAAACGAAAACCGAATAAAAACAGCGGCTACAAATCCATGTTACTTCACGATTCAACAAAGACCCGTCTAATTTTCAAATTTAAATTGTTAGAATTATGGATACATTGAGGTGAGCAAAGTACATAATTGATTTCACTACCCGTCGGATTTGACATTTAAAAGCCATTTGAATCTATATCGCTAATTGTTGTTTTTTAAATATTCTTTATGTCTTCTCTTTGGGTTGGTTTTGACTCCATTTACTGCCGAGCCGAAATCGAGACAGGGAGCAGCTTTAACGTAATGAAAATCCATCAACAGAGTAAAAGAAGTAATCTTAAACCGAGAAATAAATACGTCGCGAAAAAGGCCGGCATAATTGATTTCCACAGGTCATATCTTTATTAATAGGATCATATTGCCCGAAGCATTGTCACAGTTTTGTTAAGTTTTCTTGGGGGTGTCTGTGTGTTTTTTTTTTTTTTTCTGTTTTAAAACGATTTTCTCTGCAATTTAGTCTTCCCAATAAACCCACGAAAAGTTTAAAAAGTACAAAAGTAAGGATTTGTTTTGCATTTGCTAAGTTTGCGATGTAATTTTTCACCGTATCATCAGTGAGTGTACCATGCTATAGGGACCTCGCACGGATCGACATTTACATTTACCTGAAACTCGTAGGCCTACGGGTCCTAAAAATGAACCGGTGTTCGCAAGGGAGTTGTGTTTCAAGGTAAGGAATCTGCGAGCGTCTAAAGGACGGACTCATTACAGCTCGGTTATTCTCTTTAGGGAGCTGTTTTTTGATCATTCCCTATTCGTGAGGATTTAACTCTTCTATTATAACTCCTACCGAATGTGAGTCTGAGTCTGCATTTAAAAAGGAAAGAAAAGAAAAACCGGGAAAAAAAGTGGGAAAGTTTTAACGTTCGTCAAAATAAATTCGTCCTGTTAAATAGAATTATTTTTGCCATTTGCCGACAAAGGTTGATTGTTTGCCACACTTTATGACTGTTTTAACCTACATTCGAATTACATGTATGAGTCTTGAATAGTCCTTAAACTCATTTCATAACTCATGTTGCTGTTAACCAGTCGTTCCTTTTTCGTCTTTCAACAAGAGTTTGACTGATATGTTCTTCGTATTATTTATATCAAATACTCTTGTGCCTCCATATAATCGCGCTTCTGCAGGTGCATGCAAAGAGAACTATGAACATATGGTGTCTGATAATACACCCCTTTTTTATGACGGTCTAATTGTCTATTTGCAAATATAAAAAATTTATTACGGTTTAAACGTACTATTAGAGGAGAGGTTTTCTTTTTTTCTTTAACTAATTTTGGAAACTGAATCCTATTTTGTGCACGTCAAACTTGCGTCGAAACATTTGGCCTAAACTTAGATTGACAGTTCGCCGGGTCGAACTTAAAACCGTTAAGGTCGCCTTGTTACGGGTTACCGGTCGGATAGCTGTCGGACTGTGACGTCCTCAAAACCATAAGCTTAGAAATTGAAACCGAATCATCTTTCACGCTCCAGTAGATGCTGTAGAAGGTCTTCTCTCAAATTAAACTCTCAACAATGACCAAAGCAAACTCCTTTCCGTTGCCATCAACGGCCCCCGCCATCATGCTGTAGAGGTCCGTTCTTAACAGCATCTCTCTTGAGAAGTTCTTTTATTCAGTAACACAGGCAAACGAAGCGGTGGTGACGAAAATTATATGTCCTGTTTTCCACTAGACCAAAATGTGAAAAGACATAAACAAATATTTTTTGTTTGTTGTTTCGCGAACAGGATACAACACTAAAACATTAATTTCATGCTGAAAATACATCATAGATTTCATAAATAACCATATGTATGGCTGCAAAGTAAAACCCGAAAATGAAAAACGGTGAATCATAGAATCTACATTCAGGGGCACCCAATGGATCTGTTCCTCAAAATATCTGTTCTTCAGGCACATTTTTGCTGGCTGGGAGATGTGGAAGAAATAATAGTCCTTGGAAGGAAAGTGTTGCTGGGAAAAAGATAATTTAGGGTGTCAGAGGGGATTTGAAGTCTAGAATAGCTGCTACGGGTTACTTGTATGGGTTACTTACCACTCAAAATCTGAATTGTGCCCTATGAAACTTCCCAGTAAGTCAGGTTGCAGGTTGTAAGGTTGCTGGCTGGGAACTCTTCCATCAGTCTTGCTGGGAGTGAGGAACAGATAATTTTTTACCAGCAATCTCCCAAATTGCTTAAAATAGTCTCAGAAAACTTTATTCACGCTTTGTTGTTGTTTTTAGGTCTTTTTCTCAAAATTTCCCGTTGGGTGCCCCTGTACATTTAGCTGCTGTTAAGCTTTGGAAAAAGTTGAAGAGGCTGGTAAATAACAACTTTGCACTCATCTGGAAGATGAAAAAACTAATATCCGGACTTTTGCCTCAGTCCCAACAAAGCCAAAAAATTTTCGTGTCTCAATATTCTCATTTCCTTCNTTTTTTCCAGCAATCTCCCAAAATGCTTAAAATAGTCTCAGAAAACTTTATTCACGCTTTGTTGTTGTTTTTAGGTCTTTTTCTCAAAATTTCCCGTTGGGTGCCCCTGTACATTTAGCTGCTGTTAAGCTTTGGAAAAAGTTGAAGAGGCTGGTAAATAACAACTTTGCACTCATCTGGAAGATGAAAAAACTAATATCCGGACTTTTGCCTCAGTCCCAACAAAGCCAAAAAATTTTCGTGTCTCAATATTCTCATTTCCTTCGAATTCTATTCCGTGCCCTACGCCGATAAATAAGACTGTGGTTCGTTGATCGTTGATCCACTTCTGCTATGCGTCATTTTACAGTGCAGAAAACAGTCTTCATTTATTTTTTTCTTACAATTTAACTGAATATTCATGCCTGTTGATTATACTCGAGGCTGAAAAACCTGAACCAATACTAAATTGCCCTAACCATGATATTAAATATGTACAAAAGAGCAAACAACTTCAGGTCAACGAACGATAGATCAAGTACAAAGAGTATAAATGAATATTTTAAGTTTTAGCGACGTTTACGCTGGATTTAACGAATTGTATGAGATGTACGTTTAAAAATTAACTTATGTTTAAATCAAAAACAGGAGTGGCCATCAGTGGAATAAAGACTGGCCAGTAAAACTTTTCAGTCAGGAAGCCTTGGACTGGACCTGTGTGAATCGAACCGCGTACTGAACGAGAAATAAAAGTGAACAGGAGAAGCTTTCTACAATGACAGGAGCAATGACAGTCTTTAAAGTTGCCATGAACAGCTTTACAAGTTATTCCGCCATCATGTTAAACATCGTTGCAATAATCGCGTTGAGAAAAACTCCATCACTTCCGAAGCCTTTAAAAATACTACTTCTAAGTATCAGTGCCTCAGATCTTTGTGTTGGTTTGCTAGTACAGCCATTGTACGTGGCACTTGCTGTGATTGATGAACGCAATCCGATTTTCGCACCATTGGCAAGAGTGAATACTATTGCAGCCACAATTTTTTGTACTGCTACACTGTTGGGTATTTGTGCTGTATCAGTTGACAGATTCCTAGCAATTCATCTTCATCTTCGATACCAGGAAATCGTTACTCACAGACGCGTTGAGGCTGTGGTTATCTCAATTTGGGTTTTGAGTGCAGTTCTTTCGCTCCCGCGAACAAGAACACTTTCTGAGAAGGTCAATAGGATAATCCTCGCCATCATGGTTTTTATTACCCTTGGTTGTCTTGTAGCAATAGCAATAATTTATGTTAAACTTTATGTAGTTTTGAAACACCATATTATGCAAGTTCAAGCCCTTAACATAAATCTAGATTCTCAGACCACTGTGGCAATTGAAGATACTGCTAGACAGAAAAAATGTGCAGTCGCCATTTTCTACTTATATCTCACGCTTTTGATTTGCTACTTGCCAAACGCATGTGTTGCTTTAATGATTGTAGTAGATGCCTCTTTTCCCTTCGAAATGATCAATTTCTCGGACGCTTTGGTATATCTCAACTCATCCCTCGATCCTTTGATTTACTGTTGGAAGATGCGGCAAGTACGACTCGCTGTCATGAACATACTACGAAACATACATTTTAGATGTTAGATTATGGGACGACCTCAACAAGATATGTTATTCTTGCCCCTGTTTTAAACTAGAAACGTTTTATATTATTAAATCCTCATTAGATCAGCCGCCAGAAACATGTAAAACTTTCACAACAGTAGTAGATGATCGATTGATTCAGAACAGGCAATCCTAATACATTGGCGGGCCTATTCAATGTAGTTTTACAATGTTTTCTCCCAAAATTGCCAAACCTTTAATGTTCACGGCAACTGTAAAATACTTCCGTCATGACTTATCCAGGCCTATTAGAACAGAAGACAATTTTTGTTGACTTTGCTAAAATTTTGACAACTGCATTGCACAAGTGGTGCCGGTGATACTATAAGACAATGTCTTATAACCGGCATTTTAATGGGCCTACTTTTCTAAACCTCCTAAGCACCGTGATGCTCACCTTAACGGTCGTTCTTGCAAAAGGTTATTTGAATTCTTAACGAGCCGGGGGCGGGTAGTTTAAAAGAAACTGTCTGTGAGGGGTGGAGGAAGAAAAGTAAAGATGGATGCAGCTAATAGCTAACCCTGTTTAACGTTGTTGGTGGTAATGGTGGTTTTTTCTCAGTCTTTCCTGTTTAATTTATTTATTTTTTATTTGTGTTTTTTTGTTTGATCTAGATGGGCTACGATGATATTGTTCAAACATCTTATGATTATGAACCCTTGGGGACTGAAACTTTTAAAAAAGAAAGAAAGAACAATTAGATAAAGTAAAATCGCCAAAATCGCTTATCCATATCCTTTCGAAGAAGTGAAGCTAAGTGAGACTGCTCATAAAAAGTAAGCGGCTTATTAACATGAAAGGACTGACGAAGAGTAGCTCAAAAGATGCTGGGAAGAAATGTTTTTTACGTCTGTGGCCGAAGTTCTGTTAAGGTTAAATATTTCACTTACATTCTTCTCCACGCCAGAAATTAGAAGAAAAAATCTAAATAATTACAAAAAGTAATCTGTCAACTAATTTCTAATAATACAGGTAAAAGTGCATATTAAGTGAATGCTAGCGAGTGCAACTTAACTGATATGGCTATGAGTTAAGGGAAGATGACAGCGCAGTAGCACTCGAGTGAAATTAAGTAATAAATTTGTTTCTCTCAAAAGCTTTTGGGCCAGTTATTTAAGAGTGGTTGCCAGAGAAAACCGGGCAAAATGTTAAAAATGTCAACGGAAGGGGGTCAACAGAATGAGTTCATACTAACATCATAGATACGTCTGGTCGAGTAATGGACAATTATACCAAACACAGGTTCTTCACTGCTCTTGTATTACAGACACGGCATCACTTTATTTGAGCCCCTCGGACGCCATTTTTATAAGCAAATTTTCACCATCTTCTGAAACTCACAGAACCCTCAAAATTTAACGAGCGAAGCTTATTTTTTGCATGCGATACAACACATCACAGAACTACCTTCTAAAACCATAAGATTTTTTAAGTAGCCACGGACAAGACCAAAATGTTCTTATTTTATCTGACCTGAACTCAGTGTCTGCAAACGAGCAAAAAATCAGGAATTTTTGAATTGATCTACAGCGCACAACAAAAACGACGGAACAACTCTGACAGCCAAATTGCAGTCTACTATCATCCATGTAACCAAAGCCCTAATAATCATTTTGGGCCATTGAAACAGGAAGAAATTAGAAAACTCACATTTGTTATAGTTTCCAAGCTTTTTCTTGCAAACAGCCCTATTCCCCCCCCCCCACCCCCTTCGAGTTTGTTTTAAGTCCTCTTCGCGAATTTTCTTTCATACTTCGCTGTAAAGTATGTTCAGCAGCTGGAGGACATATGAAAAGGCTCGAAATACTTCCTAGGTTACATTTTCAAAGGGCAGAAAGTGCTGGAAGGTACACGAAAGGGGTACCTTTTGTCAAAAATAGTATATATAAGGGCAAGGGACTGGACCTTGGGGCGAAGCCTCTCCGAACAAAGCTTTATTGAGTAGCTTCCCACCACCCCCTTTCTTCCTAGGGCTTTCCACAAGTTGCTCGGCAACTTTTGGCAACTTCCAGTATTTCGAGCAACTTTTTGCGTTTCAAGCAACTTTTTGCATAACTTCTGAACAATTTCTCTTTCTAGTTTTCTTCCAATTCTGAGATATCTGAGCAGCTTTTAGTGCTTAAATTGGCCTTGCTTCCATATTGCACAGTGTTTTAGTTGACAATTTATGAATTTCCTATGAAAAAGGAGCCAGATCCTCACCCCTTGGGGGCAGATGATGGGCGCAAGATGCAGCCGGGCTGCTAGGTCAGAGGCTTTTTTGATCAAAATTCAAAATGGCGGACGTCGATTCACACTTGACTGACACGAGTGTCTGAGGTGAAGGTCATTCAACCATTTCATAGTTCCATGGCTCCTACGCACGAATCACCACGTGAGTTAGTTCGTCAAAGTGTGGCAAAACGTAAGCAAGCGCCTCGAAGCGAGGCAAATGTGTGTCGATGACGACGACAAATGCAATCTCGAAAAAACCTCCCTTATCAATTGCACAGGGATTCCAAAAATGCACAGAACACCCAAGACAAATTAGGGGTTGCGTTCTCGTACCTCGAACGCGATAAATCGGGCTAGTAGACCGATGGGGGTGACTTCATCGAAATATATATCATAGCCATTAAATGTGCTATTTTTAACACATTTTGTGCCGTCTCGTGTGACCCGCACGCGCATTTTTTGTAACAGAACCGTGGAAAGGATTAACAAACGAAATGGCGTTGGAAATTACCTCCGTAGGAGATGAATAAATTCCATTTCTGTCATCATAGCCTCCTCTGAATTTAAGGCAAGACCCTGACAATTACTCTAAATGTGAGGACTGTGAACGTGATTCTGCTTATGTTAAACACCATAGTGACAGTGTTTTTGACAAATCCAGTGACGAAGAGATGTAGGAGATGTCAATTCTTTCACGGCTATACCAGTAAACAAAAGAAACTCAGTGGCTGTAAACTTCCACGTGTACGACTTCTATCAATGATCAATATAATAGAAAAGGTATCAACTCGAGTTAACACTCAGACCCCTTTTACAAAATGTTTTGAACGGCCAAAAACTTGCACGGATCAGCCTTTTCTTTACATGTGACCCGCGGAACCGTGAAGTTTTTGACCTGCAAACAGTACCCCAATCTGTGAGAGAATTTGCACGTTCCATCTAAACGGGTTGCACAGGTAAAAAATTCGTCCGGACCCGTGGCGTTTACCTTGTGTGGACCGTGCTAAAAGCATTCTGAAAAAGAAGTGAGCATGGAAACAATGAGGGGAAGGGGTACGGAGTGAGAGCCGTAGGAACTCCTAAAATGGTACTTTTTCAATAAAAGCTTCTTCCAGATCCTTCCGGTATACCAGATTCTGGTAAACCTTATGAATGGTTTATTTTGACAGCTCTTGTCAACATTCGAAGGTCTATTACCTTATGGAAATGCGAAGTGACAGCGATGAGATCATCAGTTAGAAGGCTTACTTTCAAAAAAGTACTTCGTCCGCTGGCTCTCTTGGCCGCTTTGCGGCCTAAAATGTCCGCTCCGCACGTTGATTCAACTGTTTATTTTAATAACAGTTGGTAATAAAATTTATTGCAAATTTTACAGCAAGCAATATCCACCGCCCGCAGTTAGCCCGCCGCTTAGAAACTCGCGAGGTTGATATATAGCAAGTATGAGGGCAAAGTTAAGTGATTCATAAAGAGACAAAATAAATCTTTACTATTATCTACATTCACGGGACACCTCGAAATAAGGAGAGAATGAAGCAATGCCATTGGTAATTACAGGAGTTCACAGGCTCCTGGTAATAGTTCGTAATAGCCCACGTTCGATAAAGAAAAATTCTAACGTGAATTCTAACGTGCTCTCTGGTTACATTTCCATATTAGGTTTGGTTTTCTATGTGCTCAAGTCTGTCTTGGGAATTGCGAGACAATGGAGTCGTGAAAAATTTGCAGTTTTTGTCTCGTAACGTAGCTACTAGTGCCAGTCCCTCCTGAGTGCTGAATTTTCAAGATGGCGTCGCTTTCTTATTTTCTAGTTTCATCCTATCGTTCAGCACTTTTTGCCCTTTCAAAATGTAACCTAGGCAGTATTTCGAGCTTTTTCATATGTCCTCCAGCTGCTGAACATACTTTACAGCGAAATATGAAAGAAAATTCGCGAAGAGGACTTAAAACAAACACGAAGGGGGGGATCGGCCCGTTTGCAAGAGAAAGCTTGGAAACTATAACAAATGTGAGTTTTCTAATTTCTTCCTGTTTCAATGGCCCAAAATGATTATTAGGGTTTTGTTTACATGGATGATAGTAGACTGCAATTTGGCTGTCAGAGTTGTTCTGTCGTTTTAGTTGTGCACTATAGATCAATTCAAAAATCAGTCAGTGTAAAACGTAGACTGCGGACCAGGGGTAAAATGCAGACTGTGTGTAAAATGCAGACTGCAGACTAAGAGTAAAACGCAGGCTGGGGTAAAATGCATTCAAAGCATAAACCGTATTCGTGGAAGGGTTTAAGGGCAAAAAAATCCCGCAAATACATGTAAACGAACACTACTTGAAGACATCTGCTTTCACAAATCCATTCCTTTCTTCTCTGGGACGTCGTCGATGACCCGAAAACATAATCGCAATCTTCAACCTTTTTTTCCGTCCGAGAGACTTCGCGCTTCAACTTTAGATGCGAAGTTTTCGATATACGTGACCAGGGACCGTGAATTGGTACAACACCACGATCCAACACCACGATGTTTACGCTTAAATGAAAGCTGCTGACCCAAAATATTGTAAAGGAAGAATTATGGCGATAAAAAAGGGAGTAAATCATTGCAACAACAAAGAAAGATGTTCTGCAGGAAATTTTGATGACCTTCTATGAAAGTATTGCAAATCAAGGTACGCAGACTTAAGCTGTTCGGATGTTCATTGAAACTTCTGGCGAATGTGCAATACACTTCGACCAGGAAGCGAAGTGTGTAACTGAAACCGGCTAGCTATTTCACCGATTTGGAGAATAAGGAGCACAAATGTTTAAAAAAGCCTACAGTCTTTATTCTGCATTTTGCACCCAGCCTGCGTTTTACTCTCAGTCTGCATCTGCATTTTACACTCAGGCTGCATTTTACCCCTGGTCCGCAGTCTGCGTTTTACACTGACCGATTCAAAAATGCACGATTTTTTGCTCGTTTGCAGACACTGAGTTTAGGTCAGATAAAATAAGAAAATTTTGGTCTTGTCCGTAGCTACTTAACAAATCTTATGGTTTTAGAAAGTAGTTCTGTGATGTGCTGTATCGCATGCAAAAAATAAACTTCGCTCGTTAAATTTTGAGGGTTCTGTGAGTTTAGAAAATGGTGAAAATGTGCTTATAAAAATGGCGTCCGAAAGGGACGAATAAAGTGATGCTCGTATCTCTAATACAAGAGCAGTGAAGAACCTGTGTTTGGTATATTTGTCCATTACTCCACCAGACGTATCTATGATGTTAGTATGAACTTATTCTGTTAACCCCCTTCCGTTGACATTTTTAACATTTTGCCCGGTTTTCTCTGACAACCATTGCACTCTTAAACGGCGTTTAGCCAGTCAAAAAAATAAAACCCATTCTAAGCCATTTTCAATTTGCCGACCATTCACGTGAAGCGTTTTATGAAAGCATATGGCGTAGACAAGAAAAGCGTTTTCTTTCTTAGAATAACCCGCTAAAGAAGAGATCTGGAGGTCCAAAGATTTGCTTAACCGCGGCGGTCTATTAGTTACACTTCGTTTATCAGTAAATAATATAACCAACCCTTTGAATTTAATGGGGACCATCTTGTCAGAATTAGTCATTTTAATTCTACTAGACCTTTGTGCGCCAAATTGTTAGGTAACA